TCACCTCCTTGTACCCCCAATATGTTTTTCCCAATAAAAAAATATATTAAAAAAATAAAACAAAACAAAAAATATGAACAGCCTCACCCACCGCACTGGACCATCACCACAATGGAATGTCCCTCCCTGAAGACCCTGCTATAAAAACCTGCCTCACTCCACCCCGGGTGTGGTTTTCCCTGGTCAATCTCTTCTCCAGACCAAGCAATCCCGCCCAAGAGCCCCCTCAATAAAGCTGCCCTAAGCTTGAAAAAAAAAAAAAAGAACATCTGTCCACATTTTGTTTTTCAAGAAGCAAGCCTCTTCTTGTTATTTCTTTATTTTTATGGTAGTTTTGTGGAATTTTATGGAGTGGATACATCTTCCATCAACCATTTTTACACATTTGTAATTCATTACTCAAATTGCAGCACTCTTCCACACCCTCCCTTCCTGTATCCTTTCATCCTTCTCTCCTGCCCCTTGCTACCTTCTGAGCTTTGTCTTGAGTCAGATGCTACCCCTTTGGTCTCACGTGGTTGATTGTTCTGAGGAGTATGTTGGCCTCTCTGTTGTTCAGCTGAAAATTTGACTACTGGGATGAGCTGTAGGCTTGAAGGGTGAGTAAGGGATAGAGTCTCAATTCCACCAGTTTCTATCAGACCAGTGGATCTGGTATTATGATTTTGAATTTTGTTCCACATCTCTCACCCTCTATCTCCAGGACCTCTTATGTTATGCCGACCAGAGTGGTCAGCAGTGGTTGCTGGGCATCTTTCAGTGAAGGCCATGCATCATGTGGTCCATTAATCCTGTGGACTAATTGTTTCCTTTAGTCTTTTGATTTTCTCTTCTGAGACCACTTTTGCATCTGAGCTGCCAACTTGCTGGCTTATTTATGTCTAACTAGTTTTACAGTATATTTTTACTACTTAGCTTTATATCTTGTAACCAGATACTACTGTATTTCCCCTCCCCCCCAAATAATGCACATCTTTTATCTTTTTTTTTCTTTTGCCAATGTCCCCTTCCCCCAGAAGGTATTTTTTAAAATGTTATGCTAATTTTTCTACAGCAGCATTTGTTCTTTTCATAGTATTTTGTCTATTTTCGTTTTTGGTAATTTCTACAGAAAAGCCTCCTTCTGTCTTATCCTTCCCCGCCTCCAGGCTCCAGTCTTTGGGTAGAAGCTGGTCTCTGGACCTTATGTGGTTGACTCTTTTTAGGAGTGAGTGTCTCCTGGGTTTTATTATTCACTTTATGGACCTGTCTTTGTTTTGGTTGAAAGTCAAACCATGGGTATTTTGCTTCAAGTGTGAAGGGTGTCTTAAAGGCCTACTAGGCTTGGATTCCACAAGTTTCTGTCAGAGCAGAATACCTGGCCTCTTTTATGTTTTCTTTTTCATGTTGTGTACCATTGAGTCAGAGTGACTGGCACAGGAGCTTGCCCCTCCTTCTCCAGCAGAGCATCTGGTGTATTTGAACCGCATGCCTTCAGGATGTCAGCGCAGCTTTTTACCACTAGGCCACCAGAGCTCCCTTCTTTTATGTTTTTGAATCCTGTTCCCTGTTCCCCCGAGTTTCTCCAGATCCTTCCACTGTGACCCCTTTGAGGGTGGTCAGCAGTGATAGCCGAGCACCATTTGGTTCCATGACCCCTTTGAGAGTGGTCAGCAGTTGTGTACAGCACTCTATTCATTTTGGTCTGAGGGTTGTGGAAGTCTAGGTCCTCCAGGTTTCGTCTCTGTTGTGACCCTCCAGGCCTTTCCTTCCTCTTAGGGGTCTCTGTGATGAAATTCAACAACCCCCCTGTGAACAGCCTGAGCCTGGACCTGCTGACAGAGCTGGTCATAAACCTGGAGAAGCTGGAGAATGACAAGGCTGTCCGTGGCATCATCCTAACATCGGTGAGGACACCTCCTACGCCCACCTCTGTTCTTAAGTCCCCATCAAAGTGTCACTCCAGCAACGCCCTACGTTGTCTGCGTGGCAGTGAGGTGGGCCACTGTCTCTGTATATGGCCCCACCAGGAGTGACCAGGCAGTCCTACAGAGGGGACTTTTCTCTTGAGGGGCCGAGGGGCTCCACGCCCCTCCCCCTGTCCACCCCTTGGTCTCAGTGCACATGACTGTGGCCGCACACTCAGCCCCTTCTCATCCCACTTCCCGGGTCACAACCCCTAGTCTGTGCACTGTCCAAAAACCAGAACCCACAGTGGATTCCAACTCACAGCCATCCAGAGTAAACTGCCCGGTAAGGTTTCCAAGCCTGAGACAGCACAGAAGCTAGCTGCCTCAGCTTTCTCCTTGAGGCTGGTGGGTGAGTTTGAACTGGCCACCTTCTGTCAGCAGTTATGTTCCCCAGACTCTTCAAAGAGACTGTAAAACTTGATGCAGGTGAGTGGATTCCCATAGAACAGGGCAGCAGGACTATCCCCTCAGCCTTCCCAGGCTGTGGGTCACTGGGATGGTCCATTGAAATGCGCTCCGGTGGTGTCACATGTTGCTCAGCTGGAAGGTCAGCAGTGAATCCTCCAAACGAGGCCTTTTCCTCCTGGAGGTGTAGCCTGTTACCTTGGAAACCTGCAGTTGGTGCTGTGGTCAGGGTGGACCAGATGGCCTTGGGGACCATTCAGTTTAGTTCTGATCTTTAGAGAAACAGACTGATGCACGTTTCTCCTGCAGAGCACTGGTTTGAACCGCTGACCTTCTGTTAGGTCGCGGAGCTCTTTAACCAGGGTGCTGTCCAGTTACCCAGAGCAACATTCGCTTGACCAGTGCTGTCGGCAGCTGTGTCTGGGCTCCAGACATCTCCCACCGTCACAGGGCCCGAAGCTGGGCTGCCCAGGCACTGTCAGTCACTGGTGTCCCCTCCCCAGAACTGTCCCGGAGTCTTCTCTGCTGGCCTGGATCTGCTGGAGATGTGCGGACGGAACCTGGCACACTACACTGAGTACTGGAAGGCAGTCCAGGAGCTCTGGCTGCGGTTCTGCCAGTCCCCAATGGTGTTGGTGGCTGCCATCAATGTGAGTGTTGGGTGAGGCAGCCTCGCAGACCAGTGTGCATGGTCACAGGAACTCACTCCCTGGTCTGGGGACAAGACTGGCAGGGCAGAAACCTACAGGAAAGGGGCATCTCTGAAGCTGTCCCAGGGAAACCCCAGGGAGGGGAGGCCCAGGACCAGGGGGCCTCTGGAGGAAGCAAGGACAGCTGGGAGGAAGGAAGGTTCTAAGGAGAGTTAGGGGACTCAGCATGTGTCCCAGCCCAGGAGCCACCTCCTTCCAGCAGTCCATGGAGACTGCGGGGACAGTGGGCACCAGAGATGAGGACAAGGGATGAGCTTGGGGTCATGGGACCTCAGAAAGGCTGACGGGGACCACTAAGACAGGGCAACATGGGGTCCCTGGGCACTTTAGAAAGTACCCTGGTGGCATAATACAGAGTATTCTGCTAACAAAAAGGCTGATGGTTCAAATCCACCAGCCGCTGCATAGGAGAAAGATGGGCAGTCTCCCCCCATGAAGTCTCAGACACCTGAAGGAGGATCACGGTACGACAGAACCGACCTGACAGCCGTGGCCTTTCTGTGTTATACACTTAAGACGAAGTCACTGCAGTCAGGTGGGTTCTGACTCATGGTGACCCTCTGCCAGTTCCCAAGGCTGTAAATCATCATGGAGGAGTCTATTCAGCTGTCTCCCTGGAACAGATGGAGGAGGTGAACCACTGACCTTTCAGTTAATGCCCCAGTACTTAACATACTGCACCATCAGGGCTCCTCCTCCACGTCAGGGGTCCAAAGAGCTGAGTTTTCCTAGTTGAGAAAACCAGACTGGCTACAGCCCCCTTCCCAAAGGCCAGTCAAAGCTCAGACCTGTGCGTTGTCATTGGGGCCCTCCTGGAACAAGGTGGGGCAGATCTCACCCCCAAATCTAGTGGCCTCATTTGCCCCCTGTAGGGAGCCTCCCCGGCCGGAGGCTGCTTAATTTCCCTGACCTGTGACTACCGCATCATGGCTGACAACCCCAAGTACACCATCGGGCTTAACGAGACCCGGCTGGGCATTGTGGCCCCCTTCTGGTAAGGCCAAACACTGGGCCATGGGCTTGTTCCCGAGTCACTGCTCCACTAAGGGTCCCACGGTGAGGCCTTCTTTCCTTCCTTTCAGGTTCAAGGACTCGGCAGTGAATGCCATCGGTTACCGTGCTGCGGAGCAAGCCTTGCAGCTGGGCCTGTTGTTCCCGCCAGCTGAAGCCCTGAAGGTGGGCCTGGTGGACCAGGTGGTGCCCGAGGACCAGGTGCAGAGCACAGCCCTGTCGGTCATGGCTCAGTGGCTAGCCATACCAGGTGAGGCCCCTCCCTTCTGTGCCACCGCACGGCCTGTGGTGGTCAGGCGCTGTCTGGTCAGCTCCAACTCACAGCAACCTCATGTTCACAGAATGCAACCCTGCCTGGTCCTGCCCAGCCTGGCCATCGCTGCTGTGTTTATCCCCATTGTTATGGTCTCTGTGCCCATCCGTCTCACTGAGGATCACCCTCTTTTTTTGTTGTCCCTCTACTTTTTCAAGCTTGATGTCTTTCTCTAGGGACTGGCCCCACTTGATAACATACCCAAAGAATGTGAGACAGAGTCTTGCCGTCCTTGCTTCTAAGGAGCATTCTGACTACACTTCCTCTAAGACAGATTTGCTTGTTCTATTGATAGTCTTTTGACAGGTATGTTTATTCAGTATGCTTTGCCAACATCATAATTCAGAGGCATCAATTATCCTGTCTTCCTTATTCATTTTCAGTTTTTACATGCATATGAGGCAACTGAAAATACCACAGCCTGGTTCAGGCACACTTTAGTCTTTAAAGACTAGGGAGAATGGGCCTGAACATGGTGGCAGATTGGCAACATCTTTGAGTCCTTGTGTGATTATCCACTCAGAGGTTGGAGGCTCAGGTTAACCCAGAGGTGTTTTGGAAGTCAGCTACCCACACGCCACACAGTTCTGCTCTGACACACAGGGGTCACCAGGAGTCGGAACTGACTCAACAGCAGTATTTGGAGGCAGTGGTTGTTGGGAGTACAGTTCTCACCTTTCATGCAGGAGCCCTAGGTCTGATTTCCAGCCAATGCATTTCACATGCAGCCAGCCCCTATCTGTCTGTGGAGGCCTGCATGTCACCAAACATATTTCAAAGGAGCTTACAGAGTAAGAAGGATGTCTCAGTCCTCTAATGCTGCTATAACAAAGATACTACAAGTGGATGGCTTTAACAGATAGAAGTATGTTCTCTTGCCATTTAAGAAGCTAGGCGCCTGAATTCAAGGAGTCATTCTAGGGGGAGGGTCTCCCTGAGCAAAGGTCTTTGTCTCTTTTCAACATCCCTGGACCCTTTGTTCCTTGGAGCTCTCCAAGGAACAGAGTATTGGTATCCATTTTCCCCTGGATCCAGAAGTTTCTTAGCAGGGATCCCAGGTCCAAAGAACATGCTCTGTTTGGGCTTCTTGCTATTCTTGGTGGTACCAAGGTCCTTTGATCTCTTGTTTGCTTGTCTGATCTCTTATGTCTCATGAGAGAGAGAATCAGAATACCTAATGCTGCTGATTATATCCTGTCTCATTAATATTACAGTGGTGAGTTTCCTGAGGAGCCAGTCTGTAGGATAATTACATCAGATCACAAAAGCGGAGGACAGTTAATGTGCACTGACGATCATGACCATCTTAGCTATCTAGCACTGGGTGGCTTTAACACAAATTTCTCTATTTGTTGTTGTTCTTAGGTATCCTGGGGTAACAACATCTCATAGTGGCCCTGTGAAAAACAGAGCTGAACCTGGCCCTACACCATGCTTGAGCCCATATTTAATCTGAGCCAATCCGTGTTGTTGAGGGTCTTCCTCTCATTTCTTGATTTTCCACCTTTCCCAGCATGATGTCTTCTTTCAAGGACTGGCTTCTCCTGACAATATGTCTAAAGAGGTTTCACCATCCTTGTCTCAAAAAAGCAACCTGGTTCCACTTCTCCAAAACATGTTTCTTCTGGCAGTCCATGGAATATTGAGTATTCTTCTCCAGCATCACGGTTCAAAGATTCTTCTTTGGTCTTCCTTATTCATTGTCCAACTTTCAGATGCATAGGAAGCAATTGAAAGTTCCATGGCTTAGATCAGGTGCACCTTGGTTTTTAAACTGACATCATTGCTCTGTAGCACTTTGGAGAGGTCCCTGGCAGCAAATTTCCTCAATATACCACATCTTTTGATTTTACTGTTGCTACCATGAGTGTTGCTTATTGATCCAAGTAAGATGAAATCATTGACAACTTTAATCTTTTCTCCTTTTATGATTATGTGGTGAGGTTTTTCTTGCCTTGATGTTGAGGTGTAAGTCATATTGAAGGTTGTAGTCTTTGATCTTCTTCAGTAAGTGCTTCAAGTCTTCTTCACTTTCTGCAAGTAAGAGTGTATTCCACAGTTTAGGAAATGAGGAGTCCAAATCCAGGGTTCTGGATGTAGGAAGGTCCTCTCTGCCAGTTCTGAAGGAAGGTCCTTATTTCCTTCACATCTCGGCCTGGCATTCCCCAGAGATCACGTGTCCTGGCCTTCTTGGGTCAGGAGCTTCCCAGCACAGTGACCTGCTCCTGGTAGTACTGAGGTATCCCCTCTGCTTGATTTTATCTCCCCTTACATCTGGGGAGTGATTGCATTGCATTAAGGTCATTGCATCCCACAGCTACCTGGTCTGGTCTGTCAGATCATGGGGAGACCATTATGTAACTTCCTCATCACATCATTGCAGGTACCTCCTTTGGGAGAGGGCACAATTCAGTCCCCAACAGTGGGCTAGATGATCCTACTTCAGAAAACCCAGTCCTGCCACGCCTGGGGAGCAGAGTGCCACACATGCACATGATTGGGAGGGTAGCAGATAGGAACTGAAGAGGTGGCAACAGCTGTTGGTCCGTGTGTAGATAGTGCTGGCTAAGTAGATGATGATATAATCCATGGATAAACAGGCTTTAGCTGCAAAGAGCCAGAAGGAATTTCAGCTCTTGAGGACAGGGAGGTAGACTCCGTCCAATTGTGGCTCAGAAACAGTCACAGGAATCTAGCAGTGGATGGAGTAGGCCCGCCAGTGAAATGCACTCAAGTGCCAAAATCGGAGTCTCTCCCATGTGTGACGGGACATTATGACTTCATTTTTTTTCCCTGTTGTTGTTAGGTGTCGTCAAGTCGCAGGCGACTCACAACAACCCTATGAACAAAAGTCCTGGACACCTCCTGTATAACTTTCGTCCTTTCTCCAGGTTCATAGGGTTTCCAGAGGCAAGCTATTGTGGAAGTGGATGCCACTCCTTCTTCCAAGTTTGTTTTAATTGGGGAGCTCCACCAAACACTGTCCACCATGGGTAACAGTGTTCAGCTTCACAGCAACCCCGAGTTACCTCTGTAGAGCAAGTGGACATGCCAGGGTTACACGACCTAAAAGAATGTCTCACCAAAAGCAATTAAAGGCAGGCCTGAGGGCCGCTGAGTAAAATCACCCACCTTTGGCTTGGGAGCATGGCTTTCCATCTGCTAGGCCAACTACTCTTTCTTTATATGCTGCTGGTGGTGATGGTGGTGGTAAGTGCCGTCGAGTCACTGGCAACTCATGGCAACCCTATGAACGAAAGCCCTGAACACCTCCTGTATAACTTTCATCCTATCACCGGCTATCCAAGGGGTTTGCTGACTTCCCAATGCGTTAAGCATTGGGCTGGTGGTTAGAACCACCCCAGCCCTTTGGCAGGACAAAGATGTGGCAGCCGGCTTCCAGAGAGTCACCAGTCAGGGCCCTGAGGGGCAATACAACTCTGCCCAACAGTCAGAATCATCTATGCAGCATTGGGTTTGGGTGTGGTTCACAAACTTCTTTTATCTGCAGACCATGCCCGGCAGCTGACCAAGACCATGATGCGTAAGGCAACTGTGGACCAGCTGCTGAAGCAGCGGGAGGCGGACATCCAGAACTTCGTCACCTTCATCTCCCGGGAATCCATCCAGAAATCCCTGCAGATGTACCTCCAGAAGCTCAAACAAAAGCAAAACTGAGGGCCAGGCAGTAGTCCTCAGCCTCCCCCAGATGTCTTGTGGCTCAAGGGCAGTTTAAGCAAGGTACTATTTTTTGTGTACACAGGTTGTTTCTTTGGCTCTTCTCCAAGAGCTATGATTTTTGTCACTGTCCTGAGGCCCCACAAGTGCCTTTTCATCCTGGCAGCATGGTGACACCCCCAACTGGGGATCCTAGAGGTTTGGTGGAATGCCTAGTGCTCTCTACTTCAAAGCAGGTTGTGAATAAACATCTCAGGACATGACTCATGGCCTCAGGGCTCCTGTTTGTAAGGGTGGGGAGCTCAGTGGACACCGACCCTGGTGGTCCCCACTGGCCTCCTCTGACCATTCCTGCCCCAATAAAGCATCTGTCATTTGGATAGGGCCCAGACAGAAGGTCCAGCGACACAGAGGGGGGCAAGAAGCATCTTTTCGTGTGAAGAGTCGCAGGGTCCAGGGCCTTGTTTGACAAAGAATTGGTGAGAACTTGTCCCAGCCTTAGAAACAAATGCTTGTCCTCCTTACAATTCACACTGCTCCCCAATCCTGTGTCTGAAACCATTTCTTAGTTTCCAAAAGGGAGAAGCTTTAGGAACCAGGAGCACATCCCTCTTCCATCTCCCACTGAAGTACGGGAGTTTACCCAGTACCCAAGCCACCTCAGCCTGGCACCTCAATCCACTAGGGCCCCAGGATAGACTACACAGGAGGGCTGTGTGGAAGGGGGCAGGGCACAATCCACCTCTCCGGGCTTAGAGTGTTGACCAGCCCTGATAACCCCCCCAAGCACACCCACTGCCATCTCAACCCAATAGAGCAAAGGTTTCCAAGGTTGTGATCCTCCCACCATCCACTTCCTCCCTATGACTCTCAGTTCTATTCTTCCTCCTCTCCTATCTTCAGAGCTTCAAGGATATAACCCTGAGAGACTGCCTTGTCTTTTTCTCAGAGTGACTGGTGGATTTGAACTGCTTTTGGTTAGCGCTTATGCATTTTATCCCATGTGCCACCAGAGCTCCTTCCCTCTGACCCTGATGCAGAATTCCTGGTCGCCCCCTAAATGCAGAACAGAGCCCCTGGCTGCCCCAACCCGCCCCACATCTTACTTGGAGACACTACAGATTCAATACTAGAGCACAATAGATCACGACCAAATGGGTCCAAGAATTTTCTGCTCCAAAGAGCTGTTAATACTCCACTGTAGCAATTGGTAACCTGTTGGATGCTAACTGCAAGTCTTGGGAGTTCAAATCCACCAGCCACTTCCAAGAAGAAAGATGGCAGTCTCCTCTCGTAAAAACTGACAGCCTTGGACACCTGGCAGGGGTCTCTATGAGGTTGACTCTACTCAAGGACTGTTGGGACAGCTGGGTCAGCCTCGGAAATCCGAGGGACAGCTCCCAGGATTGGAATCAACTCAACAGCAATGGGATCATCTATAAAGTGTGATGACGAATAACATGATTTAAAAATTTTACTTTCTGGGAGCATGACCAAAATGGGATCTAGAGACACAAACTGAGAAGCGTGCATGTGCTGTTGGAAAAATGTAGCTGGCAAACAGGCTTTGCACAGGGCTTTTAGACCTTAAAAAACCCACACAAACACATTCTCTCCAAAGTGATTCACACCCAGAAAATATGGGAAATGCCCCATCATTTGCCTTCTGGGGTCAGCATGGTCCACAGACACACTCTCCTCACCAGGCAGAACCATGACCCTGAAAAGGCTGAGTGGAAAGGGAGAACATGGAGGTTGAAGGCACCAGTTGGCACCAGCTCAGAGCAGCTGTTTATTGAGCACAAGCTTGAGACAACACCTCACAAGAGTCCTCTGTGGCTGGTGTGTCTCCCAGGTTACAAATGGGAAAACTAGGCTCTTGTCACACCAGAACTGTACACAGCCACTTGTCCAGGCTAAGGAAGGGTGTATGCTGGCACCCAGGCCTGGCTGGCTGTGCTCTGCAATCTGGCTGGGGTGTCCAGCTGTAATGAAGGTGCCCCCAGGGGGGTCCCCAAGGAGGCTGGAGTCTGTAGTCGTCTGTCAGCTGGACTTGAGGGTCACCTCCACAGGGAAGTGGTCACTGATGGCCAGAGCCTGGATGGAGAGTCAGAAATGAGCAGTGTCAAGAGCTGGGGTGACAGCACAGCACCCGAGCTGTTGGACTACAGGTTGGGAGTTGTGGTCAAGGAGAGCTCTGGGGACAGCCGGTTTAATGGTGGAGCCGCATGTGGAAACCCCAGTGTCTTCCTGGGATGTTCTACCACACAGGTACTGGATGTCTGAGGACATTTTCTATAAACCCTACAAGTGGACCCCATGTGCCCTGGGAGACTCTCCCCAAGGAGCTGGGGTTGAGCATGACCCTCCTGCCTATTCTCTGGAGGCCAGAACACCAAGGCCAGGTGTCCAAACCACATCCCACTCACCATAGCCAGCAGCTGCCACAGCATAGTTCATGAACCCAGGATGCTATCCTCAAAAACCTGCCCAAGCCCAATCCAGGATGGAATAGTCCCCTAGCACCTCCCAGAGCTGGCCTGGTCCAGGATGGCACGGTCCCCTATCACCTGCCAGAGCCTGGTTCATAAGTCCAGAATATGGGCCCCTAGCACCTGCCCGAACATGGCTGAGGATAACACTGTCCTCTCGCACCTCTTGGAGCCAGCTTGATCCAGAATGGCACTGTCCAAAATTACCTGCCAGAGCCTGATCCATAAAGGTTCCACTGCACCTGCCTGAGCCTGGTCCAGGATAGCACTATCCCCTGGCATCACCTGGAGCCTGGTTCATGAATGGAAGAACAGTCCCCCAGCACTTGCCAGAGCCCAGTCTGTGAACCCAGAGGATGGTCGCCAACACCTCCCTAAGGCTGGTCCAGGATGGCATGGTACCCGACCAACTGCCTGAGCCTGGTCCAGAATGGCACTGTTCTCTAGCACCTACCAAAGCCAGCCTAGTCCAGGATGTCACTATCTCCTAGCACTTGCCTAAACCTGTCCAGAATGGCACTATTCCCCTGGCACCTCCCGGAGCCAACATGGTACAGGAAGGGATGTCCTCTAGCACCTGCCGGCCCCTGGTCCAGGAGCACTGCCCCCTAGCACCCTCCAAGGCTGGTTCATGAACCTAGGGCACAGTCCCCCAGCACCTGCCTGAGCCTGGTAAAAGATGGCACTGTACCCCAGCACCTCCTGGAATCAGCCTAGTTCAGGACGGCACTGTTCCCTAGCACCTACATGAGCCTGATCCAGAATGGCACTGTCCTAGCACCTCCGAGAACCAGCCTGGTTCAGCATGGCCCTATCCCCCTAGCACCTCCCAGAACCAGCATAGTCGAGAATGGCACTGTCCCCTAGCACCAGCCAGAGCCTAGTCTGTGAACCCAGGGCACAGTCCCCCAGCACCTGCCTAAGCCTTGTTCTGAATGCCACTATCCACCAGTACTTACCTGAGCCAGGCCTAGGATGGCACTGTCCTCTAGCATCTCCTCGAGTCAGCCTGATGCAGTATGGCACTGTCTCCTAGCCCTGCCAGAGCCTGGTCTATAAACGCAGGGCATGATCCCCAGCACCTGTCTAAGCCTCATCCAGGATGACACGGGTCCCCCAGCACTTGCCTGAGCCTGGTCCAGGATGGCACTGTTCCCTAGCACTTCCAGTAACCTAGTCAGTGAACGGAGGGTATGGTCCCTCAACACTTGCCTGAGCCTGGTCCAGGCCGAATTCCTCCTGGAAGTCGTGCACCGCAGCGGATTGTGGCCTCAGACTCCGCCGCAGGTGCGCACCGCAGACCACGATGCGGTCATAGGCGCAGTCTGAGTTGCCCACCGTGGTGTCAGCGCTATCCGGTATGAGCCACTTGAAGACCTCACTGCTGCGCAGGCGGATGGCAGTCCAGTCCTGCGCCCGCACGTAGTTGCAATCTGCGTTGAAATCACCCAGGAACAGGATGTCCTGTGGACGCAGAGAGGTCAAGTTCGCTGAGAGGAACCTCACGCCACACCCCTACTCCTCAGGCCTTAGAGGCACGACCCTCGAACCCCACACACATGGCAGAGTAGGGCTTACATCGGTGTTCCACTTGTCGATCACATCCAGGTACACGTCGTAGAGGGCATCAATCTCTGCCACTGCGTTCCGCGGTGCTGCATGCAAAGGAACCAACACCAACTCCTTGGCAGCTGAGGGCGAGGGGTGGACAGAAGCTGGTTAGGGGGGGAAACGAGGCCAGGGGTGTCAGTGCGGGGACGAGGGGACGGGAGAGAGTGGTGAGGTGTCAGTGTGGGGAAGGGCAGTGTGGGAGCAGCAGGAAGGGAGCTGGCAAGCGGAGGGGAAGAGCCTTGCGGTGGAAAGAGGGGTCTGCAGGCCGGCTGGGGCTTGAGGGGAGGGGCAGAGTCCGCAGGGCGGGGCCTGAGGGGGGAAGGGTCGTGGGATGAGGCCTGAGGGGAGGGTTTGGGTCTGGGGAGAAAGGGTCTGAGAGGAGGGGCGGGGCCTGAGGGGACAGGGCAGAGTCTGTGGGGAGGTAGGGGCGTGAGTCCTTCCCCCCTGCAAGGGTCTGCGAGCAGGGTTCAGGGGAGGGGAAAGGGTCTGCAGGGGGACCTGCTGGGAGGAGTGGAGTTGCTGGGGAGGGGGCGTGGCAGGCCTCACCAGAGCGTGGGGCAGAGAATTTGACCACAAAAGGCTCACGGCTGAAGGCGTCCTGCGGGTCAGGGTATTGGTATGTGTCCACGACAGACACCTCATCCTTTCTAGGGGAAAAAGAAGGTGGTCACATTGGGCGATACCCCTCAGCCCCGTGAGCGAGATCCCGTGGCCTTGCCCCCTCACCTGTACACAAACAGGTACATCTCCTTGTACTGGTCCCGGCCCAGAGGCTCGCTGCTCACGAAAGCATACTTGTGCGTGGACACACTGTGGAGACATGGGCCAGGCCCAGGGTCAGGGCACTGTGTGGTCACCTCGGATCCCAGCCCGGTGCCGACATGGGGCGCCGCCCCCACACCTGTTTATCTGCTCCATGAGCACAGACACAGCGCTCAGGTCTGGGTCCCGAACCTCCTGCACCAGCGCGATGTCATAGCCAGCCAGGATCTGGAAGAGACCGGCAGGAGCAGTTCACCCAGAGGACTCACCTCCTCCCACAGGACCTACCGCGTCCCGCCCCTCATCCCTGGTCGCACCTGTGCGATGACACCACCACAGGCTGGGTCGGACACTTTGTTGTCGCCAAAGCTCTGGATGTTGAAGGCTCCAACGCGCAGCGCTGTGGCCCTGGTGGCCCCCAGTGCCCAGAGCGCGGCCAGGAGGGCCCATGGCCCACTCATGGCCCCAGGCAGGCTGGGAGAGGGGAGGGACAGGCTCGCTAACCGGGACAGGGCCGACCTGCACCCCCCCCCAGCTTTCCTGCTGGTGCGGGAGGGGGGGAGGGCTGTGCCCAGGTGTCCTAACAGACCCTGCTTCTTTCAGACCCAGCTCTACCCAGCCCATCACTCACCTGAGGAGTAAACAGAGTTTTGCAAAGGTTCTAGGTCCAATTAGATGTCTGTGGCAGTGGACAGCCGACGCAGGCTAGGGTCCAGCAGTGGCTCTGGGGAAAGGCCTGGGCGGCTATTTGATGCCCGGGTCCGGGGAGGGGCCAGGCTGCGCTGGGCCCCGCCCCCTCTGAGGTGCTGGGTGCCAGAGCTCCTGTTTCCCTTTCTTACCTCCTCCCACAAGGCAAGGAGTCAGGGGTTCAGGCAGGACAGGAGAGCTGGACCAGAGAACCTCCGCCACCCTCCCCAAGGGCGGGGTCAGAAGGCGATTGACCACGCCCATGGCCTTGTCCCAACCCCCAAAATCTAGGTCGTTCCCACCTGCCTCCTTGAGCTGCGTGGAGGGGCGGCTAACACAAAACAGCCCGGTTCTTGGCCCAGCTGGTTCAGCTGCTTCTCCCCACCCCACCCGTTGTCCTCCCTCTCTGGAGTCTGCTCATCCACCCTGTACACCGGGGTCGGAGGCTCAAGCCCAGTACTCTTCTACCGCCTCAGGAGGCCTTGGAGACTTTTGTGGCGGCAAAGTAGACAGAGGCTGTCCGTCCAGATGCCAGCCACCCACACACAAGTAGCAGCTCTGTGGGAACCCCGGGCGGGACTCCAGGCAGGCTGGTGCGGCCAGTGAGGCAGCAAGGCCAGTGGCGCCAGCCCTGGAGCCGCCACCACCTCAACATCACAGGCTGTGGGGTTTTCATGTTTTATTGTAAAGCAGCAACAAGAAAAACTTCTGTATTTACACTCCCATCCCCTCCCGGGTGCTCTGACGCTCTGTTGTCCTTGAGATCCAGGGCCAGGCCCCACTACACGATGACTGTCTGGACTTCAATCTGCCCCTCCGGCGAGGCAATGACCAGCTCGCCCGCATGACCCAGGATCTCAATATCCTCTGAAGACACCATGGTCACAGTGGCCTGTTCAGCACCACTGGCCCCGGCACGGGCTGTAAGCACGGTGCCCTCACTGATGGCTGAGGCCAGTGTCATGGCCACCTGCTCAGTCAGGCTCTCAGGTGTGGCGATGGTGATAGTGTCAGTGCCAGCCTCAGGGCCCAGGCCAGTCTGCTGATCCATGGTCATGTTCTGCACTATGATCTGGTGCCCAGCGCCAGCCTGATGCACAATCTGCTGGACCACCTTCATGATGTGGCTGTCCACCTGTGAGTAGTCACAGGGGATGTGGTGTGGTCAGCACAGGGCGGGGCCAGTGGGAGGGCTGGGCTCCCCTCCCCTTCCTGTGCCCCTCACCTCTGTCTGGGTGCCCTCAATGATCTCGGTGGCTTCACTGGTCTCTGCGTCATCTGCGGTGGCCTGGACAGAAGAGCTAAGGTCAGCACCCGCTGGCCCCATGCTGGCCCAGCTCACCTGTCCCACCTGCTCCACGCTCACCTCGATGATGTACTCCTGGGTGTCGGCCACCATGGATGAGAATTCCACCAACACAGTGTGGGGGTCCTCCGCAAGGACCGTGGCAGCTGCAGGGCCCTCCTCCGGAACTAGCACCTCCTCCACCTCCAACAGGCAGCCTCCTGGCCGGTGGCAACAGTGTTGTCAGTGCCCCCAGCACTGGCCTGACCACCTGCCCCTTTCCACCCCACACTCCTCAGACCTTTGGTGCGCAGATGCCGATTGAGCGTGCCATGCTCAGCGAAGCCCCGGCCGCAGCGGTAGCACTTGAAGGGCTTTTCCCCTGTGTGGTGCCGCACATGGCGCACCAGTGAGCCCTTCTCCCGGAAGCCACGGCTGCAGTACTGACACACGTGTGGTTTCTCCTCCAGGTGTGTCCGGAAGTGCACCTGCTGGGCGTTCTATAAAGACTCTTCTGTCAGTGATGGTGGTCCACCTCGGCTGTACCCACCCACTCACCGAGGAGGGCAAGGAGGCAGGCCCGGGGGAAAGCAGAGGGTAGGCCAGGCTACCTTGGTCTTGTAGCGCTTGCCACACTCGGGGCAGGGGTAGGGCCGCTCATCCGAGTGGACGCGCCGGTGGCCACGAACATGGGCAATGGTCTTATAGAGCTTCCCACAGTCTCCACAGCGGAAGCGGCGCTCATGCACGTGGACCTCCTGGTGTTTTTTGAGCAGGTAGGCCTTGGGGAAGGCTTTGCCGCACTGCGCACACGCGAATGGCTGCGGGCCTGGGGATCCATAACCCATGGCACCCATGGCATGGGGTCCACCACCCACAGACCACCCTGGCCACCCACTGCCCAGACAACCTGAGTCCACAGCCAGTGAGTACTCTGGCTAACCCCACCCAGAGCAACCTGACCACCCACCTACGTGGCCTCTCTTGTGGGCTTCCAGCGTGGCAGCCGTGGGGAAGGACTCACTGCACTGAGGGCATGGGTGGCCTCTGGGCACTCCTGCAGCCTCACTGGCCACCTGCTGGGGGACCACAGGCTCACCTCCTTGCCACCTCGAGAGGCCCTGGGCTGAGTCCCAGAGGTACTGAGGCGAGAGCCAGGAGGGTGAGTATATGGATCAGTGGACAGTCAACTTGAAGGGGGTGAGGAGGCCATGGGAACAAGTTACCCAGAGCCAGCCACAACAGTACATCCCACCAAAAGCAGCCGCTGTGTCTACCTGCTCCATGGCCAGCAGCGGCAGCCCTGTGGAACCATCTCCCACGGCTTGAGGACTGGACTCTGGGGCAGGGGCCGGCTCCAGGGTGTCCCCGTCCTCCGCTGCCACGCGCTCCAAGACGATGCCCGAGTTCTGCATGGCCTGGTGCAGGAGGTTTTCACGATCCCCCTCACTGGTGGAGGGCAGCTCCTCGGGCCCAAGAGGCTGTGGGGGCAGCACAGACTGATCAGACAGCCCCACATAGAGTGTGTACCCAGGCAGATGTGTGTCAGATCAGGGCGCCGGCTCATCTCACCCCATCATAGCTCAGGCTTAGGTTCTCAGCCCCTGAGCCCTGTGACCTCCATCTCAGCATGTACCCATCATCCAGCCCTACCTCCAGATCCAAATACACCTGCACACCAAGGACTCCCACCTCTAGGCTAGGGCCCCACTGCACTCAGGTCCCCAGCCCACCCTCAAAGTCTCCACCACCTCCACCTGCTGCTGCCCACCTCCGACTCCACGGTCTTTACGCCCAGGGGCAGCTCCTGCATCTGTACATGGACTTCATGGATGACTGTGCCCTTGGCATCTGTCACTAGGTGAATCACAGGCGACGCCTCCATGGGCTCACCCGTCACTGATGATGAGGTGACCGTCCCCAGGCTGGCAGTGCCTGACCCTTAAAGGCACAGGTGGGTGAGGCCTCAGTGAGGTCCCTGACTGGAGAAGCTCCCATCACAGCCATCCCTGGGGAGTGCGTGCCTGCTGACCTGCAAGCCCATCCTCTTTGCCAACAGCCAGGTCCTTGGTGACGTTGAAGCGCAGCTTTTCCGTACATGGAGTGAGGGACTTAAGGTGGCGGGTCAGTGCCCCTGACTCCCGGAAGCTCTTTCCACACTTGGCACACTTATAGGGGCGTTCATCTGAGGGGGAAGGGAGAGGTCAGCACAGGTCAGGGGGCTGCCTGTGGTGGACAAAGCTCTGGCCCCCACTCACCCGTGTGTCGTCGGTGGTGCCTAATGAGTGAGCCCTTGGTCCGGAAGGAGGCCCCACACAGCTTACATTCATGGTCCTTGCGGCTGCTGTGCGTGACCATGTGGGCCTTGAGGATACTGCCCTGTAGGGGGATGGGCAGCATGGCTCAGGCTACTTCCAGGTGGAGGGGAGCCCCCGCCCCAGTTGCCCCAGGCTCACTGTCTTGAAGGTCTTCCGGCACAGCACGCACACATATCGACCGTCCTTGTTCATCACCAGCTGGACCTGGGCTGGCTCCCCCTGCTCGACAAGCGAGGAGCCCTCGGCCAGCTCCTCACCATGCCCCGGGTCCTCCGCTTCTGCTGCTACAATCACCTCTTTGATGTGCCCATCACCTAGGAGAGGTAGGCAGATGGTCATCTTCTGAACAGTATGAACAGTTTCCACAGCGCGCTCTGGCCCCCTAGCATCACCTCAGTCACTGAGGAGACTCCACACAGGTACGCTGAAGGCAGCCAGGAAACTTGATCACTGGAGAGGTGGGGGGGGGGGACTAACTCTTTGAAGCAAACTCTTTTGATGGCAAAAGTCATCAGGAAGCCACTGTGTCTAGGGGGACACCCACCATGAGCACTGACACCCTAGACTACACCAGGGGGCATCCTGCCACCCTCAGGGCATCGTAACTAGGCTGCCCCTTCCATGTGGGAGAAAGCGCTTTGTGGTTGGGATCCACATAAGAATGCCAACACCTGGCAGCTTGGGGGCGAAGGGAAGTGGGACTCTGGCACCTCTGCTGGGTGTTGGACAAACATGACAATGTGCAAAGCTGAGCTGTAAACATGCTTCACAGCCTGCTTATGAGTGACAAGGAAATGGGCTGGGAGCCGTCATCCCCAAACCACCCAGGTGCTGGCATCTTGTGTGACAAGCTGCTGTCTTGAGCAGAACGAGGGTGCTGTGACTCAGAGACGACTCAGGGCTGCTCTCGCCCGAGCCCCACCTGGCACGCTGAGAATGGACCCACGCCTGAGTCTCACTTTGCCCCTCCAACAAGTACAGACAGGTCAGGCCCGGGGACAGAGAATGTGGTGAATGCTCTTGTGGACTCAGATACAGCATGTCTCCAGTAAGGGGCAGGCACCCTGTGGGCAGTACCCAGCCAGTGTCCACATTCAGTACCCTCAGACACCGCTCACCACAGAGGTCTGAGCTGAGCACACAGCACCTGCCACTGCAGGCCGTGGAGGACCATAGTCCCAGCCTTCTCTGTAAAGCTGACTGATAAGTCCCCAAGAGGTACACCCAGGGCATCACAGATTCTTGCTGAGAAGCCAGGTGGCACAGCGCTTAAATGCTGAGCTGCCAACCAAAAGGTGCAACCCACTCAACTAAAAGGCACTGTGAGAGAAAGCTGAGGTCATCAGAACCTGTAAAGATTCACAGCCTTGGGAGCCCTGCCCACACCCCTATTCCATCAAGAGTTGGAATCAACTTGATAGCAGTGGGGAGTTGGTTATGGAGTGAGAAGCCCTGGTGGTACAACAGATTAAGTAATGGAGGTTAACCAGAAGGTTGCTGGTTTGAACCCACCAGCTGCTCCATGAGAGTAAGATGTGGCAGTCATGCTCCTGTAAGGATTTACAGCCTTGGACACCACACAGAGCAGTTCTCCGCTCTAAAGGGTCACTGGGAATTGGGAGTTGACTCCTTGGTTGTGGTGGGTTTTGCTCTGGTTTTCTGAGATCTTCCAGGGGAATTGTGGTGGCTGCACACTGGGGTGGCAGGAAAGGGTTTAGTTAGCCTGAGGCCAGGTGCTGCAGATACTGCCTGGACCCTGGAGGTCACAGCAGGAGCCCCAACCCCACTTCCCACATGACAACATTCCTTCCTAAACGACAACAGGAACCTATTTTGTCCACAGGCACGTAGGGGAAGGACCTCATGGGAATAAGGGCAGGTGTCTGGTCACCTCCCGGAGGGATCATGTTGGCAGAACCTGAGGGCAGGCTCCCCAAAGTGACCTCCCCACTCGTCCCGCCATAGACCTTCCCAAGAACCTCTCAAGGCCAAGCTCTGTGTCTTGCTCAAAGCCCCTTCCTGTCAAGCTCCCTGCCTTCACCTGCCCAGTAGGTACCCCAAGGAACAATCCTCAACTTCCTGCTGAGGGCGGCCATTTGCAAAGCCTGCTCCCTCCTCCCCACCAGGGCTTCCTACTGTCTTTGAAATGTTAGTCCTGCACACCCTGACCCAGGCTCCGACCCTGACTAATGAGGAGTGTAAACCCTGTGACTCTCGTAACACCCACGACTCTCATGTTGGCGTGGTGCTTAACTGAAGACAAGAGAAGTCATCAAAGACCTGGTGCTTGCTCATAAAACCCAAGGGTCAGGAATGGTCACTGCCACGCTGGGAATAACGAGGCTAAGGCCAAAGCAGGGTGGGAGACAGCCAAAGTCAGTTGGAGTCTGCCAGGCTGAAAAGAAGGCCTGTACCAGAACTTCAGAGCCAGGAAAGTGGAACACCAGAGGCCACTGAAAGTGGGATTCTGGGAGGCCAGAGCAGAGCCAGGGGGGTGTACAGTAGGAGTGTCAGGATGGCCAGCTCAGTATCACCTGTGAAGTGGGGTCACTCAGCAGCCAGTGTGCCCAATCCTCCAGCCCCCCACGCACTACTTGAGAGGTCTCTCCCAAGGCCCCAGCCCCATCCTCAAAGGCCAGGCCCTCAGGAGAGTGGTAGCTCAGGTGGCAGAGGCCCATTCTCCCAACCCAGACACCTGGGCCCCCAGGAGGCCCCACGGGTCCAGCTTACCCACAATATCGGGCTCATGACTGAGATCTGCTGCCAGAGAGGTCGCCTCCACCACAATGTGGGCCAAGGTAATAGGTTCCTCAGGGGCTGGGGCCTGGACCACCTATGACAGGCACAGGAGGCTCAGGCATCAGGGCTCAGGTCCTTCGCTTGCAGGGTCAGCCATGAACCTGGCCTCTCCACCTGGAGCTGCTTCTGAGTGACTCAGCCAGTAACTCTGAGGACTTGTCAGTTGTATAGCGAGAACACGGCACCCACTCCTCCAGCCTCCACAAGAGGGCAGAGGAAGGGTGCAGGGCTGGGAACTCCCTGAAGGAGGGGGGATGATGAGCACAGGGTCAGGTGTCACCTAGGCTGTTTCTCTGTTGGGGCCTCAACCACTCTGAACAATGAAGCTGACAAGAGCTCACTCCATTTTAAAGGCAGGAATGTCCTGGATTTCAAAGCCCCAAGCCTTACTTCATCGGGGGTAACCAGGAACTAGGCAGAGAGGGAGGACAGCATTGTCCTATGATTCCCACTTTGCGCCCCCACCCAGCAGAAGCCCTCAGGTGCCAAGGGAAAAAGGACCCACCCCCAGCTGGGCAGAAGCCCTGAAAACCTCAGGGTAGGAAGGAGACTCCAGCACATCTCCTATCCCAGCAGTGGTGGGCAGCAGAGCTGCGAACGGACGCCAGCTGGACTACCTACATGCCGGTGAGAAACAGCTACACGGGTCAGCTCAGCTCGCTCCTGCCCCCGTGGAAGGTGCACACAGGAGGGCAGTAGCAGCAGGGATTGGCGTGCTTACCTCCTGGCCCAGCAGCTCAGTGGCAGCAGGGGCTGCAGGCAGGGCATCTGGTGGGGTCCGCTGGCAGGCCTTCTGGATCTTGTGCTGGACAAAGTCCTCCAGAGCCGTGAACTCAGCCTGGCAGCGGCCACATCTGTGCACATCATCTTCATCTGCAAGAGAGGTGTGTTAAGGGCCCGGAGGAGGGTCCCACTGTCCCCCAGAACACCCCAGAGAGCTGCTGGGGGTCACAGGAAAGAGGGCCACACTAACCCCTAGAACACCCCAGGGGCTTCTGGGCATCTCAGGGAGTAGGTCCCACTAACCTACCAGCCCCAGGCAGACCCACCTAGGAAAGTTTCGCATTTAAGAGGCTCCTTTCCCAGCCCCCTCCACTCTGAGACTACTGACAGCACACTGGGGCAGGCGAGACCCAGCATGCTGGCCTCATCCAGCATGCTGTGCCCTAGCAGCTGAGGGGGGAGGCACTTGCCAAACCCCTAAGCTGCAGGAATCCAGAGAACTGTCAGGTGCAAGCCCTCCACTTCAGAGATGAGTAGAGAGGCTCCAGGAAGGCCATGGCAGGGGTTCATCCAAGCCAGTGGGGAGATGGTAAAGGGCAGGATTTAAAACTGCCAATGGGGCTGTGATGGAGCTGCGGAGGCACAGTTTGAAAGGTCCGCAGTTCAAACCTTCGAGCTGCTCTTCAGGAGATAGTCTCTTCCCATAAAGATTTATAGCTTCAAACCTCCAGGGAGGCTTATCATGAGTGGGGATTAACCTGACAGTAGTGGGACCAGGCAACGCCATAGTGTTTGGTTGCTGGAATCTAACAGCCACTTTGCAGGACAAGGAAGGGGTGGTCACTCAGATTCTATAAAGACTGCAAAACTCTTAAAAGAGACAGCTCTACCCTCCCACAGGGTTGCTGTGAACTGGAGCCAGCTAGCGGCAGGTGGGGTGTACTTGGAGCTTGGGTTCTGTGCTACGTGCCCTGCAGCCTCAGTGTTCAGCACCTCCTCATCTGGAAAACAGCCCGACCTAGCCCTAATCCCGCAGCATCCCCAGGGCTGTCATCGCTGTGGAAGCACACTGCCACCTCTTTCATCTAGGGAAAGATGAGAGGGTCAGCACTGCTGGCCTCTAAGCGAGCAGATGTGTGGTTAATCACTTGCTGTCAATAATGAAAGAACATTGATGTTATAACCTCCTTGGCAACGTAGTGCTGCCTGTGTCTGTATCGGTAATCTTACAGTAGTTCCACAACCCGAACGGGATCATGGCACTCTCTGTATTAATCTGATGTCACAGCTTCAGAAGGCCTGTGAGCACAGGACTTGAGATCAAGGCCCATCATATCACCTAGAAGCCACAGTTGAGGGACACGGCGCGTTGAACACTCTTTTCTCACCCTATTGTGAGGTGAACATAATAGCATCAGGCAAAGATTCCCATGGTAGGACTCTGCAGAGAGACCTGCACCCCAAGACTACCCCGCTTGGACTCACCATCAGCCTGAGAGCAGCCCTCACAGACACTTGACCTTCAGGGGTGTCAGACACCTCACCTAGCTTAACCACTGAGGAAAATAAAAAGGATCATCCTCGTTCTAAATAAACAATATGGGACTCAGGGTACCTACTGTTGTGAACACCTGGCCCAAGGACTGTTTGAGACATAAGGCGGGAAGAGATGGTCCTACCACTTCCTGCACCAAGGGTGTGGGTTCTCCACAGGAACCCAGCTGAGCCGTGTTCAACAAAGACTAAGGACAGCACACCCACAGAGGGCCACCTGGTATAGGGCAGTCCCCCTCCAAGGCGGCTAATTAGGTCACCGGAAGTCACAATCAAACTAAGGCACCCATGGCCCTCTCACCGCCTCCCACTGGAGCCTGAGTCAGCTCTAGGAAGAAGCAGGCCCAGGACATTCAGTGAGATGAGGTCTCAGCCAGAGCCAAGCCACCAGCAAAAGGATCCTCTCCTCTCCAGACAGCTTGGCCCTCCCCAGGGTACCTTCCCTCTGGAAGGTGGGAAAAAGAAGAGCCAGAGATGGAAATCTCCAGGGGGACAAAGAAAATCAAATCCACAGTCCTATGGCTCAACACTCAACCAACCAAGACAGGCCTGTGTGTGAGGCCAACTAGGGGGGCTCTCACTTCTTAGAAGAACCAACTGTAACAATGTCAAAAAAAGCATCATTTGCCACAAAAGCCCTGATAGCAGGAAGAAGCAAGACAGGATGAATGAAAAACTACAGGAAGAAAGTGAGAAGAATGTGACAGCATTTTGGGTATTGTAATTAATGTTATAAGACAAAATATGTATTAATGGTAGAACAGAAAACGCATTCACTTTGTAAACTTTCACTCAAACCACAATCTTTTTAAAAGTTACTAAAAAATAACAATCACTGCCACTTATTTGATTGATTCACAGCACCCTGATGTTCATCAGGTTTCCAAGGCTGTAAACCTCCATAGATGAACACTGCTCACCTTTCCATCACAGAGGAGCTGGTGGACTTGAACTACTGACCTCTGGATTATCAGCTCATGTAAAGTACTATCCTCAGTATCACCACCCCACTCCCTGTCCAATTCCCACTTGTCAAGAGACTAAAACCACCTCTTAACTGACCTCTAGACTGGGTCTCCAAGTATTTAAATTGTACAATTTGATTGCTCATTTCTCCCAAGGAGCCACTTATAGATTTTGAACCACCAGAGGAATGGCCTTTGAGTTAGGAAAGAGGATAGGCCAAAACTGCCCATGGGAAAAGTTTTAAAAACCACCACCACTGCTTAAGGGCTAAGTCACTAGAGCTCCCAGACCTGAGAGCTTTCTCCTTGTTCTCCAGTAGGAACCCACTCCTGGTTAACGCTCACGCAGGTTTTTGGAGGCTGTAAATCACAGGGGAGACTACCCATCTTTCTCCCAGAGTGGTTGGTGGATGTGAAACATCAGAGGTGCCACCTTCTGGTTAGCAGTGCCATTCCCTAGACCTGCATTGTTACACGTTGTCAGAACTGACTCACAGTCAAGCCTCCCGTGGGTGTTTAGAGGCTGTAAATTGCACAAGAGACAGCCCATCTTTCAAGGCGCAGCTGATGGATCTAAATGCATGCCTTTACACTGGCAGCACAGTTCCTTACCACCACCACTAGTGGTTCCTAGTTAGGAAATGAAAACTACCAATGCCCTGTAACTAATCCAACGTTGACTCTGCTTAGCACTTCACACATTCACACATACTCTCTAATTCTCACTATCCTCGTCCTGGGTGGCAGAACTCAGAAATGAGGTGGCCTGGAGTGGAGAGTGACTCAGTCCTAGCATGCAATCCAGTCCTGGCGGGCAATCCAGTCCTGGCCACTTAATAGCTAGGTGACCCGCCGGAGCCACTTTCACATCTCTGCACATCAGTTTCCCTCACCCTTAAAATGGAAATAATTATTAAGAATAATACCTTTAAAAAAAAAAAAGAATAATACCTGTGCCTTGGGGTTGGTTTGAGGATGAAAGGAAGTTATCTTGGGTACATAATTAGCAGGATAGCAGGAGCTATCGCCTGGTTTTGTAAAGGGGAAAGGATGTTCTGACAAGGTGTGGACATCTGGCCAGGATCAACAAAGTGGTAGGTCTGGGGCAACGCTGCAAGCTGGCTCCGTGCACGGGGCTCTGCTGTCTCCTCACCGGCCAGAACCTGGGGTGACCTGAGGTCCCTCCCTTCTGCAGCCTCTTGCCACACCCCAGGGCCGCAGTGGCCCCGTAAGGTGCAGTGGGGAGGCATCCTGTCCAGCATCATAAGGCGAGCAGGTTCACTTAGGTCCCGACGAGGGCAGGGCCTGTCTGCGGTAAAGTGGGCTGCAAAGTTAGCGCCCGGATTGGGGCACCTGCGAGAAGTGGGTTCCGAATCGGGGAAAGGCACACAGCAGGAGCAGCTCGTGAGCCTGGGCATACCTGGGAGCGTGTGAGAACGCGGAGCCTGTGGTGACCGCGAGGACCTCAGGACTAAAAACTAAAAGGCTTATGTCGCCCACAACAGCCCGGCAACTGCGGCCTCTGCGAGCCCTAGCTGAGCCGCCCCGCCCCGGCCGCGCCCAGACGCTCCGGTCCCTGTTACCTTCCTCGTTGAACGGCGCGGGAAAGTTGAGGAAGCCGCTGGGGGCCAAGGCCGCTGTCGCAGCGACCCCGCCCCCGTCAGCTTCCCGCCCGGCTTCGGCCCGGACTTCTGCCGTATGAGCGGCCGTCACCCGCACTGCCATCGCACCCTCCATGTCGCAACGAGCCGCAGGAAGATGGCGGATTTACGACTGTGTCGTCATAACAACGGGCCGATCCGAGACGAGCGTGAGAACAAGCTGAGACGAGAGCGGGGCGGACCGGTGTGAGATTGACAGTGACGACCAGAAATTAGGCGGAGCCAGACGCGGGGGGCGGGCCACAGAGGCGGGGCAAAGCTCTACCAGAGAAGGGAGGGGGACGTGGTCTGGGTGGAGCCGACCAGCTAGCAGGAGGGCGGAGCCTGAGGGCGGCCAACCCCCAAGCGAGGGAGGCCGAAGCTAAACCAAAAAGCCAGGTTTGAGGGAGCTCTGCTGGCCTAGTGGCAAGGAGCTGCAATTACATTGAGTTTCACGGTTCGAATCCACCAGATGCTCTGCCGGGAAAGGAGGGACAATCTCCTCCTGTACCAGTAAGATCGGATTTGGCGGTACACTCACACAAAAATATAAAAAAAAAAAAAAAGGGGGGAGCTCTGGTGGCCTAGTGGCAAGGAGCTGCAACTACAATCCCAGAGGCTCACTGTTCGAATCCACCAGATGCTCTGCCGGGGAAGGAGGGACA